GCCGCCGCTGCCGCCGCCCCGGCCCCCGAGCGCCGCCGCTGCAGCGGCCGAGGCCGCCGACGGCCGCGCGCCGCGCAGCCCGCTCGCCAGCGCGCTCCACACGCGCCGCACCTTGAAGCTCGCCAGGACGAACAGGAAGACGACCCTCAGGAAGATGAGCACCACAAACGACGTGTTGGCGGTGCCCAGCAGCACCTTGGCCTCCTCGTAGGCCTCCGCCACAATGGCCAGGATTATGTTTTGGCTGAACACGACGAGCAGCAGCACGCCGAACCAGAAGAAGAGGGTGACAGCAGAGACGGCCGAGCCGAGGCCCAGGGCCTGGTTCTGGAAGTCCTCGTAGGACAGGAAACCTGGGCGCGCGGTCGACGCGGCCGGGCGGGTGACGCGGCCAGGCGGGTGACACGGTCGGGCGGGTGACGCGGTCCGGTGGTTGGCGTGGTCGGGAATGGTGTCAGGCAGGCAGTGTGCACGTTTGCGCGGTGTTGACGGTTGGGTCCCGAGCATGTGTTTGTGTGTTTGTGTATGTGTGCTTGCTGAAAGGGTGCATCAAATTGTTTTAGATGTGAAGGAGGCGTGGTCACGCAGGTACGCGGACTTCACGCGGCGTGTGCGCACGCGCACGCGCACGCACGCGCGCAAACACACACACACACACACACACACACACACACACACACACACACACACACACACACGCACCCTTTGTCCCACTCTCCTCCCCCGCGCCCCTCTTCCCAAGCACACTGCCACCCACCAAATGTGAGCCGCGTCATGACGCTGAGGCCGTCCGAGAACCGCACGAACTGGTTGTTGCCCCCCGTGAGCTGGAAGAACGCGAATATGGCCGACCCCAGGAGCAGTAGGATGTAGACAAGGAACACCGCGAAATCGAGGAACTCGCGCGCCGCGATGACAAACACCTATCGTGGTTGGGCGGGGAGATGGGGGCGGGGGCGACGGGCGGGGACGGGCAACTTGAACGGTTCTGATGGCGACTGGGTTGGGCTGGGTGGTCGCTACAGGAATGGAGAGGGGCGGGGTTGGTAGTGCACTATCCCACCAGCCAGCGGCGATGTTGACGGCAGCTGCAGCCTCCGAACATCGCGCCTTGCACGCTGCTGGAATGCTTCCGCCGCCCAGGACCCCGACCCCAACCCTCCTCTTGGCCCCCCACTCGGCCCCGCCTGCCGCCCCCCGGCCCCCCTTCCTGCCGCCCTCTCCACCCCTCTGACCCCGGCCTGGCGAGCTCGCCTGGTAGAATGCCTTGAGGCCGGGGTGGATGCGCATGTAGCGCAGGATGCGCAGGCAGACCAGCGAGTTGACCAGGATGCCGCCAAACAGCCAGAGGTTGTACCAGTAGGCAAACGAGGTCATGCTGCGCAGCTGGCTGTCGGTAGCTCCGCCGATAGAGTTCCAGTCCTCAGGGCGCCAGCTGAGGGGAGCGTGTGCGGGAGGCAGATTTCATGTGTGTTTTGTGTGTCTCTTTGTGTGTGTGTGTGTGTGTGTGTGTGTGTTGATCGTGGTTGCGTGTAATGCGCGTGATTCAATGCTTGTGAGCTTGGGTGTTGTTGAGGTGCGCACGAGAGGGGAGAGAGAACCAGGTGTATATGGCGGAGCTTGACTGCTTTTCGATGGTGGGTGCCCGAGGCGCTGCGGGGGGGCGTGGGACGAAGCAGTGGCCTGCCTAGCATGGAGTGGCCTGCCTAGCATGGCTGTCGGGAGGGCGCTCGACAGGTCGAGCGGCGCGGGCCGTCTCCAACGCCTGGCAGCTCACCTGGGCGCCAGTCTGCTCAGCACGATCGCCAGCACGACGTATAGGATGATCCAAAGGCACAGCGCCAGGGTGCTGCGTACGATTGCAACGTCCATGTAGAAATAGAGATAAGAATTGAAAGGTCGGGCAGGTCAGCAACAAGCCGGGGGTGGGTGAGCACTTGGGAACCCAGACCAGCACCTGCCCAGCAGGCAGGGGTGGCTGTCCCCTCCAGCCAGCCGCGGGTAGCTGTGCCATGCGTGGCAGCTGCAGCGCTCCGGCCGGCCGCGCTCTCAGCATACCCCTCGCCTCCAACGCCCCGGGACCCGCCGCATCCCATACGCCCATGCCGCGGGCCGCTTGCAACCAGTTGCTCCCATTCACCTGAGCAGCTCGAATATGTTCCACGGCTGCTTGAAGAAGACCCCCACCCGTCCATGCTGCCACTTGCTGACGCGGTACTGCCACACCTGCGCCGACAGCACCGTCGCCACGCAGAGCAGCAGCAGCACCTCCAGGCCGGCGCGGACGTAGTCCCATGGCCGTAGTGTGTAGAAGCTGCGGCGCACGGGCAGGGTCGTGGTGATCTGGGCGGGGCAGCGGGGTCGGGCAGCGGGGCGGGAGAGGGGGCCGCGTGTTGAGCAAGCAAGCGTTGGCAGGCTTACGGCTGACAACAGACCGGATGATGGGAGCAAAATGCACACGAGAAGGCCCGCGAGGACCTGGCAGGAGTGGCACTGTGCATCAATGCGCCGGAAAACAAAGCGCGCGCGCGCTCACACACACACACACACACACACACACACACATACACACACGCAAACACCCGAGCACACCTGCCACATTGCCCGGTCCGGCGTGTTGCTGGGGATGTCGCTGCGCTGCACGTTCATCGAGAACAGCGCCATGTCAGGGGCCTCCTTCGTCGACATCACGTCGACCGCCAAAACCTCCATAACCACCGCGAACGCGTTCCTGGCAATGTAAGGCTTCAGGTCCTCCAGGGTCTTGATGCCGCTGCCCTTGCCACCGGGCGTGCAGGAGGCCTCCTGGGTCGCGTCGTCCAAGGATAGGAGGGTGCCGTTGGCGGCGTCTGGGCAGGCCTGTGCCAGGGCCTCACTGGTGGCGCTGTCGTCGTAGTTTAGGGAGGTGTCGGAGGTGAAGCCGGAGAACAGGCGCCGCAGGTACTGCACGCGAGTGCCGTTGTTGGTGCCGAGCCTGCGGGGGGTGGGAGTTGGAGGGGCATGGTGTGTGTGTGCATTCGTGTGTGTGTGTGTGTGTGTGTTCATGCGCCTGCATGTGTGTGTGCGTGTGTGTGCGTGCACAAGTGAGCTTGCTGACACCCTGGCGCACCTGCAAAAGCAGGGGCGGGGAAGGGGTGCAGAGCAAGGGCCTCTCCTGAGGGCCTTGCCGCGCCCAAGAATGTGGGCAAGCGAAGGCCTGCTGGCCAGGATACAATGCAAAATCTTCACTCTTCTGCTCCACACAGCATGCTGCGCGAACTTGCGCTCATACGGCCGCCATCAAATGGCTCACTTGGGTGCGACCACAACAAAGCTGAACCAATCTGACGGCTTCTCCTTCCCGGTCGTCCGAGCCTTCAGGGAGCTTGCCTGCGCAGCGCAGGGTCGGGGGGGAGGGAGGCGGCGGCGTGGCAGGCACGTTGCGAGAGCGTGCAGGCATTCCCGGCACCGCGTTTTGCAGCGAGGGCGCATCCACCATGTGGCAACCACGGCTGCAGCCATGGCAGCGGCCGTAGGAGCAGCTCTGAGAGGCAAAAACATGTCAACCCTATGGACGCTGAGCAATCACCCACGTGCCTCTGACTCCATCACGCACCTGTGTGGACATCTGGTAGTCCTTTGGCCCCACATTCCGCCACCCGCGCTCGAGCAGCGTCCGCGGCCCGTTCGGCGTCACGTCGGCCTCGTCTGCCTTCCAGCATGCCAGTGTCCCGTGGTTGCAGTTGTTTTCCAGGTTGACCAGCAGCCGCGCGAACACGACGTCGCCGTACTCACCCACACGCACCTGATCCCCAGGGAACGCCGGCCGGGCGCGCGGCCAGTCTGGGCGGGCGCGGAAGGGGGCGCGCGGCGGGGTATGAACGTGGCGCGGCGAGGGCGATCTGCCTCGCGCTTGGGAGACCTGTCCTGTCCCACCGCTGCTGGCGCCAGCCGACCCTGTCGGTAGCCCGCTCGCCCGTCCATCAAGCGGCCCATGCGCGCCTCTGCCGCACCCAGCTCTTCCCTCTCCCGCGCACGCGCATGCGATTTGCGCGACACGCAAGCCGCGCCCGCGCACCTACGGCCATGGCGCGCTGTATCCAAAACTGCAGCCAGCCGCCGATGTACTCCACGCCGTCGTTCATCGTGTCCACGTTTACGAGCGACTGCCCCTGCCAGTCTGGGTTGCCATACGACTTAAAGCTGTACTGCACAGTGTTTTTGAAGACGGCGGTTGTGTTGGTCCAATGGAAATACAGGACGAAGTTTGTGAGGATCGCAAACAGGAAGAAGACGAACAGCCCGTTGAGCCCGTGGTACTCGTACGCGTCGCGCATGACGCGACGAACCGACACCAGGCGCCGCTTCCGCCGGCCGCTGGACGGCGCGCCAGCGACGACGCTGCCGGTGCGGTACATGCCCCCGTCATCGCCGCCGCCGCCGCCGCCGGCCGTGCCGCTCGGATCGCCCTTGCCGCCGGCAGGCTTGCCTGCGGCGCTGGGGCCAAGCATGGGCGGCTCGCCACCTGTGTCTTGGATCGTGGCTGGCGCGGAAGCCAGTGCACCGAACGGCGACATGACATCATCGTTGCGGCCGTCCTGGTCTGCGCCGTCCGGGCCCCCTACGTCTGGGTCAGACTGCTGCTCCGCCAGAGACGCCATGCGGGGCACGTACCCGCCAGCCCCGCCCAACGCCGCGCCCGTCGACGCGGGCGGCAGCGGTGCTGGGTGGTGCGGCAGCGGGGCGTCCAGGGAGGACAAGGGCGAGGAGAACTCGTCGCCGGCCGTAGCGGCCTCGCCGTCATCCAGGCGCAGGTTGCACGCGATCTCGCGGGAGTTGCGGCTCTGCAGCGCGTCCCGCGAGGCCGCAGGCGCGGCCGCGGCTGCGCTGCGCCCGCCTGGCTGTGCGCGGCCCATGTGCGTCGAGGCGCCTGATGGGAGCGGGCAAGGCGGCGGCCGGGCACGGCAAGTAACGCAGTTGGCGCAACCGGCGGAGACGCCCAAGCCTTCGGCCAAACAGCGACTTGGTATGATGAGGAATACATGTCATGTCAAACCCGCAGTCACCGACGTTGAGGACGTCCCGATTGTGGCGAGTGACCCGCGTTCCCCAAGGCCCTGCGCGCCATTCACTGGACGCCACACGCGCCAGTGATCTATGACTTGCATCAAGAGTTCGTTATGCCTGTTTTTGTGCAGTCAAGCAGCGCCTTGGGGCCTGCTTGGCTCACCTGTAGCCATTATGACCTCCTCACAGGCCGTTTGCCTTACACCGCTGCTTAGATGCAATGCTCAGCTCTAATGGAGCATTATGCGCACCCAATCACTCGAGACGGCAGCGGCAGATCGCACATATCTGGATGGTGCAGCGCGCCAAGGGCGTCGGTGAAACGTTGAAAGCAGGCGAAGGTAGCAGGTAGGTTCAGGTACAATTTTATCTTGTGTCTCGGCGGATGTCTGGAGCTGACACAATGGAGTGGCCTGGGACCAAGAGAGACCAACGCCTCCCTGGAACGCCTGTCGACAAGTCACCCGCCGTCGTCACTAGGGACGGCCACTGCTTCGGGCCCACGCCGGGATGCTGCTCAACCGTGGTCATGCGGCTCAAGCGCAGACATTTTGTGGACCTTATTCTGCGTGCACGCGCACACAAGTCATAGGCACGCGCAGTACTGCTGCAGTCCGCTTGCACGAGCCACTAGCGTACTCCACACTGATTCATGTTGTGCCCACACAGCGACGTGAGCGCTACGTGCTCCGTGCATCAAGCCAGTGCTTGCTGTGTAACCGCACCCATCTTGACGCAATCGTTTTGGGTTGCAAACATAAGCCCGACCAGCCTGACAACGCCGTGGCAAGACTGACAACGCCTCGAACGCAGATGCCATGTTTTGCACTGGCAATTTGACCAGCAAGTTCATCATGCATCCGAACTTTCACGCTCAGCTGCCACCCGGGCAGCGGGTCAACCCGCGCCGCGGCCGGCGGCCATGCTGCGGGGCACCTTCTGCATAGGACGCGATTGCGACTTGCAAAACAGCAGCTGCCGCAGCGCGAGTTGCGCCAGCACAGTTCTTCAATTAACCGCATGGTCATTTCTAGGCGAGTGTCAAGAGACGGCTCTGGCTCTGCACCAGGCATCCTCCAGCACGGGATTTCTTTATGCTCGCGTAATTCCCTGGTGCCAATTGATCACAGCTTGGTGCGAGCGCCGAGAAAATCTGAACCGTGTGGCAGGGACACCTTTGCACCACCTGGTTCCTGGTTTCAGAGCAGACGTCTTCCATGAAGGGGTGTGCGATCCTGGCCTTTGTATCACCCCTTCGACCCCTTACCCCTCTTGTCTTACGTTCACCTTGCGTACTTGCTGCACTCTCAGCGTGGCATCACTTGCCCATTTCTTCTGCATTGAATTGTCTTTCAGCCAGCCGGCGCCATGTATAAAGCCATCTTTCTTGATCAACCAAGCCCCTGCAGTAGGCTGCGAGCGACGAACAGCCAGGGAATGTGCACCGCGTCACATGCACGCGGGTGTGTCATCACACACTGTCGTGGCGGGATTTGACTGCGGTCCTGGCCAGCAGCGAGACAGACGAGCGGCGCAACAACCTGTCTAGAATCCACCATTAGATTCAAACAACTGCGTATAGACTCAAACATCCAAACCCGCGCTATCAATCGACACTGTCCCAGATCCATCGACGGTCGTCAGCAATGCTGCTTTGAAGCATGAACTATACGGATGCCAATGTCACAGAGCCGCAGCACGAGGGGTTGGGCCTGGTACCCGCCCTGGCCGCGCTCCCGGGAGGAACAGCAGGCGCGGGGACCAGATGCAAGCATGGAGAAAAGGTGCAGCTGTCGAACGCAACGTCATGGGACTGCGTGGAGACATATGTTGTCGACGCACAGGTGTACGCGAGGTGAGCACCGCTGGCGCGCTTCCGTACCTGTTGTGCCCCGAGGTTCGCAGCCCAACGCTGCGCCCATGGATGCCCGCACCCCCTGCAGCATGATCACGTCAGCGGCAGTTGGACTGCTCTGTGTCGCCGCCTTCTGCTTCCTGCAGACGTTCGTCAGCGTCTACCGCAGCAGGACGGTAAGCGGCGGTCGCACCGCAATGATGCGCTGACGCGGCTGCTATCCGAGGCATGGCTGCACGCCCGCATCTGCATCCAGAAGGCCGCGCGCCACTGCGATGCGCACCAGCGACGTGGAGCCCGCGCGCGCCCGGCGCGCCGCTTGCGCACGCCGCAGCTGTGCCCGCAGGTGGCGATCAAGCCGCCGGTTGCTAGGCATCAGGGGATCCTCAAGTACTTGTGAGCGGCAGGAGTCCGCAGCCACGGGGTGCTGCCATGTGGATTGCACCCCGCGCGTGCGCTTTGGGCTCTGCGTGCGGTGGGGCGGCAAACTGCATACCTTGCAGCAGTCTGGTGGACCTGGGGTGGTGCAAGCATAAGCTGCGGGCGCGCCACATGGCAGCCGCCGATGCATTTTGCGCGCTCACCTTGCTTGCTGCAAGCCAGCACCAAGCGACGCTTGCTGCAAGCAAGCCAGCGAGCGTCGCCCAGGGCGACGGGACCCGGCGACAGTCGGCGGCGCGGCGCGCGGCCAATTGCGCCCCGTGCTGGCCAAGGATTCAACGTTCGTGTGCCGCTGAAACGATTGCACGCGCGCAGCTACTGGTTCTGGGTCACGATCTCCCTGTCAGAGAAGGAGCTGCTTGCTACGGCGGGGATGGACGCATTGGTGGGTGGCGTGGGCCAGTGGCCGTCAGCCGCTGGCGCGCCGCGTGCGGCCTGCTTGCCTGCCGGCGGCGCCGTGTCATGTGGGGCACCAGCAGCGCCGAGCGCTGGCGGCTGCGAGAAGTTGCTTGCAAGCAGCGGGCGCTGGCGCACGCGCCGTTCAACCTCGATGGCAGGCCCCTGACCAGTTTCGTTGCTGCCACCTCGCTGAACCCGTCCCCCAGATGTTTGAGCGCCTCATTGTTTTTGGGCTGCAGCTGTTTGCGCCCATCACTGTCCTCTCGCTCTCAATACGTGAGTTGCCGCGCTTCTGATGCGGGCCTGCACCTCGGATCGCAGCAGCAGGCGCAGGCGCGAGGAACGCCGCAACCATAGCACCCATCCATCTCAACCCCTCTTGCCCTGTCCAGGCAGCAGCCCTTGAAATGCCTCGTGCACAGATTTTCGTGCGCTCTCGCCCCCGCGGTCGATCCTCCCACCCCCAGTGGTGCCAATCCACGCCACCAGCCACTATCTTGAGGAGAGCCTGCAGAGCAAGGAGGTCACCGCGACCCTCATGGGGCTCACCATGAGCGCCATGAAGGACGGCTCCCAGGAGATGTGGTGAGCCGGGCTCAGGCGGCGCGCCGGCGCGGGCGCCCCCGCGAGCTTGCGGCGGGGGCCAGCCGCGGCGCCCCTCGCGGCGGCGGCGGCTGCAGCAGTGCGAGGTGCGGGGCCCCAGGGCTGGCGGCTCACGTATTGAGAAGCCGGCCCGGCAATAAAGGAGAGGGCAGACCTGGCCGTCTTCTCTGGTTTACAATCTGCACGACCCCTTCCAGGTGCACTAAAAACGCACCCCCTTATTTGCTTCCTTGTCCGCGCCGCGGCGCACTGCCAGGGTGCACATCTGCCTGGTGTACTTGTATGTGGCCTACGCAATGTGGCTGATGGACGGGCACTACAAGTGGTACGTACTGCTGCGGCAGCACTACCTGACAATGGGTGACAGCGTGTCCCCGTGGCTTGGGCACGCCGTGTCGCCGCGGCACGGCGGCGTGCTGAAGGCGAGCACTGAGAACGGCGGCGGCGGCGGCGGCGAGGGGGACGGTATGCTGGGCAGCGCGGAGTGGGAGGATGGGCTGCTGCTCGACGGCGAGGGCGACGGGCAGCCTGGCGCGGGCGGGAGGGCTGGGTGCTACTCCGCGCCGGGGCAGCAGTCGGTGGTCGAGATGGTGTATCGGGGGCGGAGGGGCGGCGGCGGGCGGCAGGAAGATGAGGGGGCAGATGACTCATCGCCTGTTCGTGGGCTCCTCAAGCCGGTGAGGCTCGGTTGGGAAGCAAGAGCGCTGTCGCCCCAGCCCGGCTCTGGTCACACGCAGGGTGCAGATCGAGGCGCCCTGCAACAGGCTGTGTTGCCTGGACAAACACACACACACACACACACACACACACACACACACACACACACACACACACACACACACGC